CTTTGATTGAAAAAAATGCTGAAGTAATCACATTGAGAATAGACCTCTTTGAAGATCTTTCATGATAAAAGTACCACTCAAAATTAACAGCTATGATTGATTTTCTAGTTTTATACCACTTTTGCCCTTAACACTGATATTTTTTAATATTGATATTATGTCAGGTATGATGATGAAGAATATCCCATTCATGGCCTCCAAATCCTAGAAAATTTTTTATTTCTAAAACTGTGAGATATTTAAATTTTGAACAATTTCCTGAAAATTCTCAGTGGATTTTTAAGTCATTGCGATTCTAGGTTTGAGTCTGCAGATAGAGAAATCTGAATACTCAGGAAGTCATTATTATGGTTTGACATTCAAGAACTCCATTGTTAAAGTTCAATTTTAATTTCACAATGAAGGTATAACTTCTGGTCAAATTGAAGGCATTAAGGTACACAGTGCATCCCTCAAAGCTACAGTGGAATTAATATTTATTTCATTCAAGTTTGCTATGTTCCTGATGCCTGAAACAGGTGAAGAATAGAAAAAAGAATATACCATATGCTGTATTCTTCACTCTCTATCACCAACTGATCAGAAATAACACAAATGTAACTTCATTGTCTGATTTTTCGTATAACGCAGAGCAAGAAATTTGAGCTGTGTAACAAACCCAAAGTTCTACTCAACTACTGTTTTCTGACACTGGAATAGCCAATGCCAACTTCTCTAGGCATTTTCATTTATTAAATGTTGCTAAGGAATGCATTTAAGGTTTCTTTAATTTAAAGCAAATTTATACTTCTAATTACATGAATTTCCAAGAATTTCTATTCTGTCACCTAGTATTTTTTTACTGGAAGATTTACTATGGTTTACAAATGCAATATTTTGGAATCTTCTTTACCACATCATTAGTCAATTAATTTTAATGAACTAGTGATAAGATATAATGTATCAGATAACTTTCATCTAAGTTTTAAAGGTTGTATGGTATTTCTAGAGATATGCTGCTTTAAATTTGAAAAAGCTAAAGTCAGTGAAAGAGTTAAAGAAAGAATTAAATGATTGGTTATTTGAAATATTAATCATATTTTAAGAAAGCATACAAATAGTAAAAAAACAAAGGCAACGTGTGCTCAAAATAAGTACCAGTCCCTTGAAAATTGAAAAAGTCAACCAGTGAACTGGCTGTATTACCTGTACTCAGCCAAACTGTCAACTTGACTGACTCTTTTCTGAATCAACTGAGTCTCAAACAGCAAGGAAAACAGTTACATAACTGTCAGTCATTCAGTTGCCAAGATTTATTTCTATTAAGTTTCAATAAGCTTGTATTTTATTTTGCCTTTATGGCAGTGAAGGCTTATGGGATACATTTCTTTCTGTATTAATAATAAAAATCATTCCAATCAAGACAATCTACAACTTAATGTAGAGAAAATCAAGGACCCATAACACTCACTAAAGAGAACAATGTATATTTTGTGACATAAATATCACATAATAGACAGATGGGACTCTGAAATTGTAACCTTAGGCTATGTTTAAACTGAGTATCAATTGCTTATATCTATTATTCTTAACCAGAAGACAGCAGGCATGTCCTCTGTTACTAATGTCAGTGAGCTTTATCCCCAAGGAACACATCCCTTAGGTATATTGGATTGAACTGAGAACTACTGGTGTAGATAATAAGTATACTTGCATTTAGCAATAAGGGAAATAAAAAATATTTCTTTAATATAAAAGTGTATAAACCAAGAGCTTTCCAGTGAGTCAAAATAAGATTTAAATTTATGATAAGTGTCCAGTCATGTTTGGCATGATTGAAATATTTGGCCATGCTGATGAGTTTATATTAGTGTTTAGATAATTGTAAGGTAAGGGCCATATGCCCATTTCCAAATCACCACAATCAGCCCCTGCAAAAACAAATCAGAACAACAACAATGGAACTGAACTACTGTGTTACCAGCACATCTATCTGTTATTTACCAGGGTACATTCATGATTAGCACAGTGGCAATGACATATTGGGTACTTCATAAATATTTGTTGAATCAATAAATTGGGTTGAATCTGGATAAACTTAGTTACTTCCATAATTACGATTCCATTGTGAATTATAAAAACTGATAACTTTTTGTTGCTCAATGCTCCCATGAATTTCATGAATGGAAACGATACAGTGATAATAGTTTGCATTGATTGAGCTGTTCTATTTGTGTATTTACAGGCAAATGGACACAGTTTTGTACATATGGAACATGAAAAAGCTGTATTACTACTGAAGAGTTTCCAGAACACAGTAGACCTAGTTATTCAACGTGAGCTTACTGTCTAAATATTTTTTATAAATAGTGAAGATACGTCTAGCCAGACCTAATGTTCACAAATAAATTTATACATAGAAACAAATTTTGCCAATTGCTGGACCAATGGCAAACATTAGTGCCAAATGTATAATACTATATGTTAGCACTGATCATCCTTAACAATGTTAACTCTATAAATATGATGTTCATGTGGTTATGTATTAGTTTTAATTGTCAGCCTCTGGCTGTGCATTGGTGCAGTTTTGTTTCTGTTTTTGTTTTTGTTATTAATCAAATAAGTTTCTTCTCAAAGTGGATTTCATATAATTTTGGAGCACGGAAGCACACACAAGCTCTTTATGAATTCTGCTCTCCATCAGAAACACTGCCTCAAAGTTGTATATGCCTTTATATAGAAAATACAAATATAAAGAATTGTAATTCCCATGAAATATTTCTAGCACAAGGTATATGTTGGCATATATACAAAAAGAATATAGAGAAAAACAATATTTTCATAAGCTAAACATCTCGGATAGAGAAAAAATATATCTTAAAATAAGACTTTACTATATTGAATCTTTTTCAATAAAAATTACATGATAATGCCTTATGAAAGTAACTGTACATATGGTATAAAGTGTTTATATTTGGTTCCATATTCATTTGCTAAATTCTCATAACACAGAGTGAAATATTTCATAAATTAGCCATTTATCTCTGGGACCCGAATAAAAATAGGATGAGCTAATTCGTTCAATGCCTTTAGCTAATTACAATACATGCAGCGTTTAGAAACAGACTAAAGGTCATTGTAGTTTAGTCTTTTTCACCACAAATTTAAGCAGTGGATGATGGGTGGCAGGAAAGGTATTGCTTTATTTCTTTCAAGTTTATGTTGATTATAAACTGTAGCCCCTGTGATTTCTTTACTTGTAAATGTGGAATTTATTTGTGTGTTGCTTAATCTAATTTGCTACTTTTAAATTATTTAAAATGAGTTTCAGAAATTGATAAAATTTATCATTAAGAAAGACTGCTGTTAGAAAGTAATGGTGGGTGATTTTAAATCCTTGGTATTTAAATATGAAACTTCAAATATAATTTCTCAGAGCTGTGGTTTACCTGTATTATTAATTTAAATGGCTGTTCTTCTGAGCAGAAATAGATAAAATACTTTTTTTTCCAAAAACTGTTTCAAGGTATGTAAAATCCTGAATGCTTTCTCACTGGAGAGAAAGACAAGAATGGTTAATGTAGAATTATTTACTTTTCCATTGAAGCTATTTTCCTGTATAAATGATCAAAATTTATTTTATAATCCTTCAAAATATTTATCTTTCATATTAGTCATTAGTTTGATTACAATATTAATTTGAAATTCCAGGATAATTTCCCAGAGTTGTTTGCATGCATTCACTTTCATAATTTCACATAATTCTTTTGTTATATAATGAATTTACTTTACCTGCTAGTGTTTCAAGTATTGTGTGAGGATTTTCACAGTAGTATCACTTAGCGATGTCACCAAAGCTCTGAGAATAATATTTGTAAGTTAATTGTTTTATGGGGACATTGAAAATATTGTATTTTTGTAGGGTCTATTAAAATGAGTGTCACTTACTAGAAGTACAGTGGTATTTTTTGGCAATAGAATTTGTCACTTGAAGGCAAATAATACTTCACTTTATAAATGATGCACTAATTTTGATGTTGCTTTATGTCAGGGTGACATTATACCATATTTTATAGAGTTCAATAATTAGCTAATGATTAAATGATTGGCCTATTTAATATGTTTCCCAGAAGTAACTTTTAAATGCATTTTAATACATTGAGAGTTTCAGGTGAGAAATGTCTTTCAGAGCCTAATTTTCTTTGTTGAAAACTCATGTCAAGCCGCCATGTCCAGATGTCATAGGATGATCATCATTAATCAAGATAGAGGCCTTTACTAGCCTCATAAGATTACTTAAAGAAAAAACAAACTCATGGCTGTAGTTTTGTGGCAATGAAACACTGAAATCATTCCATCAGTTTTTCTTAATCTTTTATGGGAGGAGAGGGAGAAGGGCCAGATATATACCTGCCCCAGGTCTTTTTCTTATGTCAGGTTTCTGCGTCAAACCCAGGGCTTCAGGAGATCCTTCTGAGGTACACAGCTGAGAGGATCATGATCCTCATAAACACCTCTGCCACTCCTGATGTGACAACATTGTCCTGAGCCACTACTTTAGTACTTCCTGTGCTGCAGTTCAGAAATGAGGAAAAGAGAGAAGGAATCCTTGACCAACTGGGAAAGTTATCTGATATGCCAAAGCACCTCACTGTCAGTTGTACTGCCGTGTTGCATACTGAGAGCAGGCAGGTAATAATGAAAAGAGTCAGGCCAGGCGCGGTGGCTCACACTTGTAATCCCCACATTTTGGGAGGCCAAGGCGGGCAGATCACTTGAGGTCAGTTTAAGAGCAGCCTGGCCAATATGGCGAAACACCGTCTCTACTAAAAATACAAAAATTAGCTGAGCATGGTGGTGGGCAACTGGAATCCCAGCTATTTGGGAGGCTGAGGCATGAGAATCAATCGCTTGACCCAGGAGGCAAAGGTTGCAGTGAGCTGAGATCATGCCACTGCACTCCAGCCTGGGCAACAGAGTGAAACTCTGTCCCAAAAAAATAAATAAATGATTTTTTTTTAAAGTAGAAAAGAGGCAATATTTTTTAGGTCTACAGAATAGAATCACTAAGCACTGGAGGGGGATAAACCTAACATTCTACAGGTGATGAAAACCAGTTATACATTGATTTTTGATTATTGACTTTTTGCAGTAACTGGTTTTGCTGCCTGAAATTAAAAACTGGTTCATTTTAACAATTAAAAAAAAGTCAAGGGTGTGCCTTTAAAAAAAAAAAAAAAAAAGAAAAGTCAATAACAACAAAAGGACTGGAATTCATGATGGCTCCAACAGCCTCTACCTCTTGGTCTTCAATTTTTATCGGACCCTTTCTGCCGAGGAAACTGTTTATATGTGATGAGTCAGCAAGATCTAATGGAGGAGACTGAGAATGATTAGAGGTGGAAAGAGCAAGTGATGAAAATTACTAGTAGAACTGCTGCAAATTTTGCAAGACAAATAGACATTAGTGGACAATCTTTTTAACTATTTACAAGGCTTATAATATTTTGTCATAAAAACTCTGCTATGATAACTCCAGCCTTCTGACAATACAATAACCTAAACACACATAATAACTTAAAAGTACAAGTGCATTTTTGACAAGGAATATTCAAACTCACTATGAAATACAGATATTTACATTATGCTGATCTGTTGCTTATTGAGGCCTATAAAAGATATGTCTCCATTACTTAGAATTGTATTAGGTTGCTGCAAAAGTAATTGCAGTTTTTACCATTAAAAGTAGGGGCAAAAACCACAATTACTTTTGTACCAACCTAATACATAGATGTAAAACAATCTCAGTTGTTTCTGGACCTTACCTTGGATCACAACCTTTGAGATGGAAAACAGCTTTACGGAGAGACTGACAAGCCAGTGTTAATTGGCTTTTAATCTTAAAGATGATTGCACACATATCACTAATGTAATTGCTTATTTAAAAATAGGACTGACATATCTTTCAAATGGTGAGCTAAAGAGGGAGAGAAGATTCAGAGGGGAGAAAACATGGAAGAAATTAGGTTTATATATTCAAATATTAAGTGAAAAGTATCTGAATTTGTCAAAATGGTTAGATGAAAAAAACAAAAAATCATTTTGTTTTTAATCATAAAATCTATTTAATATATATTTACTATCTATTAATATTTAAGCTTTCCAATGTAAAGCTTTGGAAAACATAGTGTGCTTGGCACTTTGTCTTTCCATTGTCTCTTAATGCTGTCCTTAACGAATTTCTACCCTTCATTGGCACACAGATCAAATATGTCTGATGAATATATTCTTATCAAGAGGCAGGAATACAACATAACCAGGTCAAAAGCCATACTGGTGTAGGACTGCCACTCAAAGTCTTTGATACATGCGATCAGAGAACACGTTTTACTGATTTCTGATAGGCTGACCAAACAGCAAGTTTTTTGGCAAACTGGGTCAGTAAAAAGTTATGCAAATAATGAAATCCAATACGTTAAGAAGATGAGTCCTTTATTTGGTATAAACAAAAGCAGGGTTGAAGTTCTACTGTAGTTCCTTTCATAGAAATGCTAAATCTTACTGAGCTTAATTAAATGTTCAAACTCTGGGTTGGTAATATGTCCTCTCTTCATACTTGTAGCTACCTGGTCTTCTGGGACTTGGGGGAAAAATCTCCAGATTGGTGATCACGTGCATGAATATTTTTCCTTAGCAATACGACCACCTTCTTTCGAGAAAAGCATCTTGCCTTGGCTCAGAATATTTCCCATCACCCACCAAAACCATGCTCAAAGAATACATTATAGCAGGAAAACAGAGTGTGGGCTGTGGACAAATAGATGTGCACCGTGGAAAGCATGTGGGTTAGTATTACAGGAGATCCTGAGTGTCAGCTCCATTTTGATCTAAACTAATCAGGGAATGTATATTCCAAGACTCACCACTTGTACAAACTAAGGTAGATGCAATCAAGTTTTCCAGTCATATCCTGAACCTTCTGAGAGCATTTCTGTTTCTAGCAGGTAAACTGACCTGTCTTCATTGCTGCAGTCGCTGCTATAGATCCCTCCCTCCAGCTCCCCCTGTTTTGCCGAAGGCAGTGGATGTCTGCTTCTATTCTGCTGAAACAAAGATAAGAGGCCCCCTTCGAGTGACAGCTGTTCGGAGAGCCTTGAGTATCAACAGATAGTTACAGTTCCCAATTTAGGAAGAAATTTCTTGGGTGATCCAGGAACCTGGTGTAGTAGCATTAACCAAGGCCCAAAGATGGAGTACTTACAATGTTACTGACAACAGCAAACAAAGCTTGTGTGCAGTGGTGAGGGTGGCAATGCCTTTGTAAAACTGTTTTCACTTCTGTTTTTAAAATGTTGGATTTTGCTGGATTGAGGGACTTTCTCTAAGCCTCTCAGCTGCTTCTTACTGGGACACGTTCCAATCTTCCTTACTTTCAACACTGTCTACAAGAGAATGGTTTGGAAACACTCCCTGGTAAGGATATAAATTGCCCAGCTTCTACTTTGGAGAATTCAGATATTTTTTAAAAACTGAGGAGGAACATCTAATCTAAGTTTTTATTTAAAATACATATAGTTAAAGTATAGGAATATTGAATCCCTTGGATTTTAACCATGTGATTATGTCAATCTTCCCTAAGAACAGTTCTATGGAAAGTAAAGAGAAGAGACCTGAGAGAGGAGAAATAATTTACTGGTTAACTTCAGAGGCATTTCTTTGGCTGGTATAGTCCTCCCAGTTGGGTTCTGTGTAGGGCAGCTCATGCTTTTTGTAACACACTGAGCCCTGAGCAATATAAGAAATGGACCTGGATTAAGGCATGCAGACGTGAGAAGGATATCCCTGCGCAAATTGTCTGCAAAACACCCCTTTTTTGCCTAACTTTTTTATGACAGCACCTCAAAAATTAGAAGGTTGTGAACCTCAGGCAACACTGGTGTAAAAATTCCATGACTCTTACCAGTCTACTGCTGGAAGCACTATATATATAGTCCTACCAAGAGGCAAGGTCTGGGCCAGATTTCCGCAGCTGAGATTTTCAAACCTAGTCTAATTTTCTCTTCTCCTTAAAAAAAAAAAAAAGAGACTTAAATTTTTTTTTCATTTATGTGGCTTATTTTATTTTATTTATTTTTTGAGACAGAGTCTTGCTCTGTCACCCAGGCTGGAGTACAGTGGCACTATCTCAGCTCACTGAGGTTCAGGCAGTTCTCATGCCTCAACCTCCGAGTAGCTGGGATTACAGGTGCGTGCCACCACCCCGGGCTAATTTTTTATTTTTAGTAGAGACAGGGTTTCACCATGTTGGCCAGGCTGGTCTCGAACACCTGGCCTCAAACGATCCACCTGCCTCAGCCTCCTGCCAAAGTGCTGGGATTACAGACGTGAGCCACTGTGCCCAGCATTTTTTCATTCTTTAAACTAGCATACATTTCACTGGGTATAGACATTGGTGTTGAAAAACAAGTTAAATGAATCACCCAATCTTTCTCTAGTTTTGAAAGTATATTTTTTCTATCACTGTTGCACAAGTGTATTGCTTGTGCTTATTTTTTCCTTCTTTAAAATAACAGGTTAAGTAAGCAGCCTAATAAACAGCCAAGTATCTTTACATCCAGAGTAAAATATCTTAGTACAGGAACTTTGATTTTCATAGCAAACTCATGTATTTCCTCCACAGGAAAACATTTACTGTAGCAGAATCTCCGAAGCCTAATGTACGTTATTCATAAATTCAAAACACTTGGAGACATTTCATTGAAGACTATAACAAAAACATTAAATATGATGATTATAAATGTTGAGATAAATATTTGTTGGGCATCAACTACATATCAGGTACTACAAGGGATATAATGTGGTCTCCTCAGCACAGAATCTCAGTCAAGAGGAAAGATGAGAGAAGTCCCAGATCAAAGACAGTACAAGGCAATGTGGTGAGTCCCTTTGTTCCTGCCCTCAACCAATCCTATTGCAAAAGGAAATAGAGTCTTTATCTGGTCAAATCTGTTTTGGTATGACCATGGTTTGTTCCATTTGGAGCTGCAGATAGGTCTTCTGCTGGTTCCTGTGACCTTCATACAGCTCACACAAAGAATGTCATGATGCCAGGCGCAGTGGTTCATGCCTGTAATCCTAGCACTTTGGGAGGCCGAGGCAGGTGGATCACGTGAGGTCAGGAATTCGAGACCAGCCTGGCTAACATGGTGAAACCCCAACATATTTCATATTCATAAAAATATGAAAAATTAGCCAGGCATGGTGGCGTGCGCCTGTAATCCTAGTTACTGAGGAGGCTGAGGCAGGAGAATCGCTTGAACCCAAGAGGTGGAGGTTGCAATGAGCTGAGATTGTGCCACTGCTCTCCAGCCTGGGTGACAGAGTGAGACTCCATCTCAAAAAAGAAAAAAAAAGTGTTATGAAAAGTGTGAGCTGGATGAATACTTGCCAGGATTTAGGGCAGCATTTGATAGGCTAGACATGAAAAGTCTGAATACCTTACTAGACAAGATAAATAGCAACCAGAATCTCTTGAATCTCTGGAAGAGAAGCAAGAATTTTGCCAATCTGTTTGTTCTAAAGACAAAAGGGGATGAAGAATGGTGTCCCTCAACTTGGTCCAGCACTGTGTCTGTATGCTCCTGACATTGTGGGAGAAGGAGATGGAATTCAACACTTTAAAAGTCATGGGGGAGGGGGGTTGCTTGAAAAGAGTCTTCTAGGTTCAGTGGCCCCAAAAAGTCCCTCCTGTGACCACTGTCAAGGAGTGTGGGTATCCATGCTATCCAATATTAGAATGACCCACTCAGAAATGCAAGGAGTTGAACAGTCATTCAGCTGGCTGCATTTCATGTTTATTAACTTTACTTTTTGGGTGAAGAACATTTTCACTGCACACTGCCCAAGTGATCCCATGAAAATCCTGTTTGCATGAGATTGGATCACACATATCCATATATCATAAACACTTATTCTTCCAAGGAATTCTGATTCTCTGAATCTGGAAATTGGTTTTATTTTCTTCTCCCCATGCATACTCAGTGTTTTAGACACATATAAATCCTTACTTCTCTGAGTATTCACTGTGTTTTGTATTTCAGCTTTTTGTCTACACTATCGCTCTGTTGGAATGCCTTCCTCTCCCTATTCCCTTTCTAAATTATTAAAATCATATGCAGCCTTAAGAGCCCAGCTCAAATAGCACTAGAACCATGAAACCCTCCCTAATCTTCATGGAAAATAATTTCTGTACTCAGCACTAACTTATTAATTTTTTCTCATATTTTTTAGTATCTTTCCCAGTCTACCTGAAGGCATAGCTATTTGGCGTTTGTTTTTCTTATGAACTTTAAGCTTCTCGAGAGAGAGGATCAGACAATACTTAAGGCCTTCTAGACAGAAGAGCCTCAGGAGAGGTAAAATGACCATATGTTTTGTTTACCGTATATCCTTAATGCCTGTCATAGCGTCAGAAGCATAGTATAGGTTCTCAATAAATGTTTGTGTAATGATGAAGTGGATGACAGGCCCGGCACGTAGTGCACTTTATAAATACTGAATTAAACAGCAAGTTGATGTTCAGTTTGTGTAACCTTAAACTACCAACCTTTCGTCTTCTCAGTTGACTCACGATCCCCAGTTTTTTTTTTTAATCTCCTTTTTAAATCAATCTTCTTCAGCATTTTTCAAAAATATTTTTGGTCTTTTCTGCTGTGTTTCAGCAGTTGCATTTAGTTTTCTTTTTATGCTGTTCTAAGGACCTTAACGCTATCCAAAAAGTAACACTAGTCAAAAAGTTTAAGAAGTGGCTTTTGTTTATTTAATCGGAGTAGATCATATCTATCCTTTTGATTTTCTTGGGTTTTATTTCTCTTCTGAGAAGAAGTCATGCACAGTGCGAGTTGGTAGGTTACGTTACGTAAGCAATTTTTACAATTTGGAGGTGAAGAAAGATGTCCTGAGAGAGATGGGGCTACAGAAGTGTAGCTGGGAGGAAGGGGTCCCCACTCCCAATTTAGCTCTAAACTGCTGCCAAATGCTGCCTGTCCTGTTAATAGATGAAAGAATAGTCTGTCAACAGGCCTTTGGCCACAGTTGAGCATGACAATGTTTACACATTGCGTTTTGGCATCATTTTATGAATAGATCCCACCCCCTATATCCCTGAAGTGAAGATGTCATATAGTTCAGCCAAAATTTGCAGGCCACTGTAAAAGCTATATAATCAATATGATTAACTATTTAGATAGAGCACAGAAAAAATCAGGGTTACCTTGACAAAACCATATTCCCCCTCCCAAACTTTTATTAAGAGAGAATCTGGCCTGTTGATCTCAAAGTAGAGAGCATGCTATTTATACTGTCATGAGCATTGGCTTCATTAGATCCTTCCCTTGAAGGGACAAAAAATGGAATCCAGCCCCTTAAAAGAAAAATGATATCTAATTGGGAATTTCATGATATCTAAGAGCCCCAGGTTGGTAAGCTCCTAACCACAATCCCTTTATTACCTCATGGGACTTAATTTCAAGTAAAACATTTCTGTCTTAGCTTTCTCACAAAAATATTTCCCATGCCTTTCTATTTGGGTTTCATAGAAAAGTGACTCTAGAATTGAGTGAAATATTCCCAAACATTAAATGTCTTGTGATTGACTCTTTTATACTACTAATATTAATTACCCCTATTCTACCCTTGCTTTTTAATTTCTTTTTATGAGAACTTGGTAACTATCAAGTTAATTATGTCTTCTTTTCATAAAATTTTGGATTTAGAAATATTTAGATAAAGTCATGAGTGTATCTTGAAGGAAACAGCCACCATTGCTGTCTTTTATAGCATGATGCCTCAAACTCTCCAGAGGCCCTCTCTTTGGTACCTTATAGCCCAGTATCCACACATTTACATGGGTAAAAGAATGCCAGTGTCTCTTTGAACAAAAATGAATGAAAAATGAACTGGAAAAGTGAAATATTGAAAGAGTGACATTATCCTAGGATAGTAAGAATATTTTAGAATAGTAAGAGTACTTTAATCAAGTATTTTTAAGTAAGAGTACTTTAGAATGATGAGTGAGTAGGAACAAGAAGAGACTAGGGCTGGGAAAGAGGGAAATTAGTAAGTTATTAAGGAGGAAAGAATGACAGACAAATGAAGAGGGAAAGAGGACTGATACAGAGGATCAGAGAGAAACTGGATAAAGGAAATCAGATCCAGGAATATCCTCCAGTCTCTTGGTTCCGGTGACCATGCCCCTTCTTCAGACAGCCCTGAATTCCCTTCCTTTCTCTCTGCTCTCTCTTAACTAGAAGCATAATCATTCAGCTCTTCTTGGTTTCTGGCTTCCCTCCTGCTCTTCCAGGTGTCAAAAAAAGAATTTACAATGAAAAATGAGGTACATATTAGAAATATATTTAGTTTAATTGCTATTCATTTCTAGAAACATCTAATGTCGTAGGTAATGTTTTAGTCATGCAACTCCTCAGAACAAGGAAAATCACTAAAAGTCATCTCACTTAAAAAAAATTACCAGAGTACTTTTCTTAAATAAAGGCTAATGTCAGACAGTGTGGCCATAGGTAAAAGTTATGTGGAGAAAGACAGAAAGGACCTTGAGAGGATCTGGTTCATCTGTCTATCTTCAGGGAAGAATTAATGCTATCCTTAAATTCATCCAGAGAAGCGGTGAACATTTCCTTCTGTAACCCACCCTTATAAAGTAACAAATTGCGTTTCATCTCAATAAAATCCTCCAGTTTAAATTACCGCGTTCAAGTCTGACAAATAGTATCCTCATATTTAGCTGTACACATCCACATTATTTTTTAAAGAAACGTGTCTGCAGTTCAGAAGAGTCACCACTAGATGGAGACCTCATATATACATTTTAAATCCCAGTCTCCGCAATTCTCTAGCTTGGGTGATCACAGGCTCTACACACTCCGGTTTTTGTTGGTGTTGTGGGAGGTTTTTTTGGTTGTTTTGAGACAGTCTTGCATTGTCGCCCAGGCTGGAGTGCAGTGACGCGATCTCAGCTCACTGCAACCTCCCGGGTTCGAGCGATTCGTGTGCCTCAGCCTCCCAAGTAGCTGGGACTACAGGCGTGTACCACCACACCCGGCTAATTTTTGTATTTTCAGTAAAGACAAGTTTTCTTCATGTTGCCCAGGCTGGTCTTGAACTCCTGCGCTCAATCGATCCTACCGCTTCGACCTCCCAAAGTGCTGATATGGCCCCACACCGTCCATTTTCATGCCCCTTGTGCTGATATAATTAACAATAACCCTTTCCTTGCTCTTTTGATAAAATTTGAAATAATGCTCTAAATCTACACAATTTAAGACAAAAAAAGCTTTGATCTTATTTTAAGCAGTTTATTTTTTGACTAAACCTCTCAGGTTGTATTAATCACACAAGACCTAATGATACAGAAACCACTGTCCCAGTAAGTCTTGGGTTACTGTATGTTTAAAGTTTTGATGTTCCTTAATTGTTCAGTTTGATTATTATGCCCACCAGTTTAATAGTTCTTCTCTAACTTGTGTTTTCCAAATATTTTGCTCCTATCTCCAATTATTTTAGCCACACTTCCTTCATGTATGCCCAAGTATATGGGAATAGATTTGCCTCAAGTCACTCAAAATTTATTTTTAAAGTTAACTTTCCAAAACGTAACCATCAGGAACTGCCGTTAAGTTTGCTCTTAGCCTTCTTTATGTAATTCTAAAACTAGTCCAATCTGAATATGTGTGTATCTGGGTATAGCTTTATTTTCATCTGGCAATAACTAGGCATCTACAATAAACTCCTAATTTGTCATTTTATTTACATATATAATTGGCATAATATGATAATCAGATTTCATCTTATGAAGTGAATAAGAAATGTGTTTCAAAATGTCCCTCATAAAGTGATCACTGGATTCCCAAGATAGTTCACAATCTCCCCAGCCTGTCTCCTTTCAGTGAGAATATCTGGGTGTTGAAGGCAGAGAACCCCTGGCAGCCTTCGTGTCTTGTGTCCTCAAGCTATTTTGGTTCTTAGTCATTTGAAATTCCAGGGCCTCTGATGGCTGGATCATTGCTAAAAAGGCCAAATGTTTTTGTTTACTTCCTCTAAGCTAATCATATCCTCACCCTCACAGCTTAGCCAGCCTCCTGGTCTGGGCTTCTCCTTTGCTAATTCCGTCAAAGCCCTACTTATTTATGGGTTTCAGGTGTTCCTCTGCCAACCATTTAATCTTTTTTTTCTTCCAACCGAGAACAAAGGTAGAGGGAAGACAAGGTGTTCTTTTCCAAAGTGTATGTGAAACCATTTATAGCCTCTGTTGTTTTCCTCCAAAAACAAAAAAAAATTTCCTTCTGGCCACATGATCACAAGATACTAATACAAGGTACCCTTTCTTAGCATATTCAATTCAACCTTCTTTGGGGTTTAATATTTTATAAGCTCTTTCTGACCTCCAGCCTGCCAATATTAGTGCACCGTTTTGGGTTTGCTTACCAAGTGTTCTTCTTCTCTTTTCAGAGAAGTTAAATATCTCCTTAACAAACTTAAATTGCACACAACAGTGCCACTCATTTTAAAGCAAATATAGCAGGTGTCCACCATTGTTTTGGATACACCTTTAGAGTTTTTGATTTGCCTGGTTTTCTATTTCATGTTTCTTATTCCTTCTATTTTCCATAACCTTGTAATGATAGGTTTAGTTGTAAAATCCAGAACTACATACAAGAATAAAAATCAGATAGAATTTTACTGAGATTATAAGAGATAGCTTCTTGAAAGTCCAGCTGTGCTCTTTCTTTTTTCCTTTCTTTTCTTTTGCACTACCTCCAGATTTTTGGTATCAACTATTATCAAAATACTCTTTCTTTGTATTCTATGGATAATCTTAACTTTGCTATTCCCAGGAGCAACCTCTAGGTCAGCGCTTGCTACCCAGCCACTAGCATAGTTGTGCAGGATATGATCTACTCAAAGCACAGGGGCTTATGGCTTATTGTTTTCACATTTTTACCCATCTGCATACTATAGTGTAGAACAAATGTCATTTTTTAGTTCTGTCACAATGTAAGGAGGTTGAGAAGCTCTGCTTTTAGGTACAACAAATGGGAATATCATCTAGGCTGGGTTGGGGTGCAGGACCCCCAGCAGCTGTGGGAAGAGAAGAAAGCAGAAGAAGCTGTCACTTAAAATGCACAGGGGTGTTTTTGAAACATTCCTTGTACTCCTCCCCTACCCCAACCCAAGGTTGCTGGTTGTCCAATTGTGTCACCACCCTGACAAATAAGTGAATAACTGTCACATTCAAGACTTCACTTTTATTGATGTTCATTGCGCCAGAATCTGTAAAAGAGAAAGTTGTTGGATAGTGGACAAGTCCCATTCTCTAAATGTGATTTTTTTTCTCCAGGATATCATCATCCAAACTATTCTTGCCTTGTAATATTTGTCTATACTGTTTTGTTTGTTTTAAACCAGCCATCTTTGATAGCCAGTTTTTGAACATAAATATTCATCCATACTTGTAGAATTGTTCATCTAAGCAACAGGTATCCTGTACTTGATAAGCTCTCACAGTCTCGTTATGATAAGACAGATATTCCAGCAGGCCATCACTGATATATTCTTTATAAAACCATGAATGTTGCTAGCAAACAGTTGAGGCATTTTTTTGTGGCTGTTTCCCAGAGAAATTCAAACTTGGGAGTTAATATTTGTGTGTGTGTGTGTGTGTGTGTGTGTCTATATATCTCATCAGGTACTTTTTTTTTCTTTTGCATTTCCACATATTTCCCCAAAAATTATAGTTACTATCCCTGTCATCTAGGGCCCTAGGTCATTATAAACTACTCAAAGGGAATATATGTTCTTCTTTTGCTTGGTCTTGCTATCAGCAGGTTCACATATAACCCCAAAATATATACTCATTTTTTTTTTTTTTTTTTGAGATGGAGTTTCGCTCTTGTTACCCAGGCTGGAGTGCAATGGCACGATCTCGGCTCACCGCAACCTCCGCCTCCCGGGTTCAGGCAATTCTCCTGCCTCAGCCTCCTGAGTCGCTGGGATTACAGGCATGTACCACCATGCCCAGCTAATTTTTTGTATTTTTAGTAGAGACGGGGTTTCACCATGTTGACCAGGATGGTCTCGATCTCTTGACCTCGTGATCCACCCGCCTCGGCCTCCCACAGTGCTGGGATTACAGGCTTGAGCCACCGTGCCCAGCCCTATACTCATATTTTGAATATTCATCCAGACCCGTAGGTTTGAAAACAGAGGTGTTTAAGTAATTCTCTTGTAAGTCTGCCTCTGGACCATTCCAAGGTTTGTCCTCTAGTCAACCTATATGTTTATCCTTTTTGGAAAAAGTATTAAACTGTTAAAATAATTTGTCTTTTTCTCACTGTGCATTCAATTTAATGTTCATTAACAAATGTTAATGAACAAAGGGTTATGTTCAAAATTCTAAGAACAATGGAAGATACAAATATAAATAAGCCATGGTCCTGCCCCTCAAGAAACACAGTCTAGTGGGGAGACACGCAGAAAGTCTAATAAATGCTAGGTACAAAATATGAGAACACTGTATTGTCACCTTCTCTTCACAGTCTAATAAAATGGCAAATGCTTCCTGTTTTATTGCTTGTCTAATGCCTTTTTTTTCCCCTGAGGCAGGTTCTTGCTCTGTCACCAGGTTGGAGTGCAGTGGCATGATCACAGCCCACTGCAGCCATGACTGCCTGGGCTCAAGTGATCCTCCTACCTCAGTCTCCTGAGTAGCTGGGACTACAGGCTTGTGCCACCTCTCCTGGCTAGTTTTTTCATTTTTTGCAGAGGCAGAGTCTTGCTATGTTGCCCAGGCTGGTCTTGAACTCCCGAGCTCAAGTGATCCTTCCGCTTTAGCCTTCCAAATTACTAGGATTATAGGCATAAGCCACCATGTTCAGTTCTATTGCTTTTATAATATGACCTAAGGAACGCTTTTCTGTTATCTCAGGAAGGAAAGTTCTTGTCCTTTGTATATATATCTTGTCAAAAAGGACAAGGCTCAGGTGACAGTGGGGATGTAAATAACCGCAGTATCATCCTGAATAAATCATATCACGGAAAGATAGTCACAGGCTAGCTAAGCTCTAGCTTTCCACTTTCCTTTGACTCTCTTTCCAAGGAGTAGCATTTTTGGGTCAAAGTCAGAGGAGGCTTGCAGGAATCAAGAGCAGCTCCTCCTTCCTGGAGGAAGGGACTTCATCTTAAGGCTTGATAACAGAGGCTTACTGTTCCACTTGAAGGGGTCAATCTGAGGGAAGAAGAGAATAGAGTTAACCTTTAGTGTCCCTTGAAAGCTTTGCTTTAAAATAATTCATTTGTGTTTTAAATACCTAAGAAAAATGTACATACCTCTGGTGGACTTACTTGCATATTTTTAACATTTACCATGCACCTACTTACAAGGAAAACATATTCTTTACTGTTAGCAAACACTCCAATACTGAGGGTTGTTTTAAGTACCTAATAGGACCCATTAGAGTTCAGTAAGAAATGCAACTTGAACAGTCCCTAAGATAAAATTTTCTAGGAAGTAAAAAACTGAATGCCTGGAACTATGCAGACACAGATCAAGTCTCATGCACGTCATTTAGGCAGACAGCTGAAATGCTGACACGACCTATCCAGCCAGAGCCTTCTCTTAAGAGTTCTCCAGTGCTGACAATTTCACCTGCCCTAGCAGCCTCTCCAAGCACTAAAAAGTGTAGCCATCTAAATCTTTACAACTTCGGTAAGAATCTCTTTAGAGATTACAGTATACCAGCAAGAGAATATGAATAGCACATATGGCTTTATTCCAAACAAAATCCCAGAATGTTTTCTTGCTCGAGGTTAAAATCAAAGATTTTTCACTCAGGATTAGCCTAGCTGTAGAACAGCGACTGTATAATAAAGATGAGTTCATAAACTGTATGAGTTCAGTTATGGTCTGGAAAATTTGCTGCCATTTTGTGATGAAGTGTTTGGTCTTTCCTTTAGAAACTTAGTGTCATTGTACAACTTAGAAAATGTGAATTTATTAAAAATATGCAATGGGTTATGGAGCATGCTTACATTTGAAAATGGAGATTGTGCCTTTAAATACTTAAAGGACTCCTGACCTTCAAATATCAGTTTGGGCATGTTACTGGAGATTCAGTTTGAAAGGTATTGAAAAAAAAGTTCCATATTTATGTATAGTCAGTGGTCAACATGGAGAAGCCATCTTTTTAAAGAGATCAGTTCTGTAAAGCATAATGCCTACTACACAGACATCATTATTCTACTTATAAGTCTGTTTTTTAAATTCCAAATACTTGTGGTAGTAGAAAGCAATAAATATTCTAAAATGAGGGCTATTGGTCCTTTTGTGGCTGAGCTATATGATAAAACAAGGAAAACTACCAAAGTTATAACTCTTTAAGGTACACGATATAGCAGAGAATCATTCAGACAACTTCATAGAAAGTTGAGAGGATTAATCAAATTGTTTAAAACTTTTCAAGGAGCCAAATTTAAATTCTCAATACCCTATGAGATTTTTTGTAACTATTTTAGATTCTTGTCTAAAGAATGCATAGATGTAGTAAAAAACCATTAAATACGGTAGTATCTTGTGGCCTTTCTGTGTGGAGGAGCTCGTTTGTCCAAGGTATGATCTACCAGTGCTCTCACTAGTAGTGAGATCAGTGCCAAATCACAGCAAAAGCTAATCATTCTTAGTTTAATCCTGACCAGCTAGTCTTCCTCCAGGCATCAGCTATCTGATTTTAAAAGACCATTTTAGAAATGAATAGTAGTCTCTCATTTATCACATGTCAAATTCAAAGGTATAGCTGCTTGTGAAGACTGTATTATGTTTTATTTGCCTATCTCAGAAAGAGATCTGCCTGTCTTTAGGAAAAAGCAATGCTTTGTGTAGCTTCAATTAGTCCTACATCAGGTTACTTTAATGTTTCCTACAGCAAAAACCAAGCACGTAATTCTCCAATCCTGAAAGTCACTAGAATATTGATATAAGAAATTCTGTGTCAGCGATATCACAAATATTTAAACCTCTGTTTAGGGTCCTGCATGTATTATCAGATTGGCCTCCAAACAGCAAGTGATAGAAAATTCAGGTGTTTTATTGGATTTCAGAATTGAGATTCAGAATTAAGTACTCTTGGGATAAAAGAAATTAACAAGCTTTTGACATTTCAAAGGAACTCTAATGAATAGATCAGGAAGTCATAAGTGAGAAAGAAAACAAGCATGTCTAGTGAAATCTATGTCCAGTGTATATAACACTGAGCAAAGAGCATATTTTATTTAGACTATTTGTATTCAGATGTACCCTAAAGACAACTACGCTATAATGCTTTTCTCCTACTTCCCGGCCTCTAGCCCTATCCATTGCCCAGGTGGACATTGTTTTTAGTTTTTTCTTTATGGGTGAGGGAAGGAGAGGACATCAGGTGAAGAGTGCCATTACTATTTAAAAACTAGCTCTGCAGGAAGGGTTAAATCGAGTCCTTTATAGGGTGACCTTTTTCCATCTCCTTAGGGCGATTGCACTTCAAAATAGGCCAAAGCTGAAGTCATAGGAAGACATTAATTGCAGGTTTTCAGGAAACAGCCTTTTGGAAAGCTTCGGGGACTCAGCAGGTAGTCTTCGTAGAGCCTTTTAAAATACAACATGTCGGTCCTTCTCAGATTAGGCTGAAACTCCAAATCCTTGTTAAAGGTTTTCCTGGAATCCTACCGTCTGGTTTGATCAGCTTAAGTACTGAATGACAGAGAAGGATACACAGGAGGGACTTGTATCACATGAAGAAAAATAATTATTTCCTTCATGAGAAACTTAATTCTAGGTTACTTAAGTAGCTGCCTTGTTGGGGGAGGGGAGGCATAGGTTTGCAAATAGTGGTGGGTTTTTTCAGGTTTTTTTTTTTTTTTGAATATTTGAAAAGATGCTTCAAGCAATAATAAACTAGATGTGCAATAAATCTTGTCGAGTAGTAGTATGTGCTGGTTTCCGAAAGGGGAAAAGAGAATTGTTACATCAAGTTGCTTTTATGTATCAAGCTAAGTATGGGCATGCCTTTCCAAAGGACATAATTGATCCTACAGTTAATTTTAACATTTGGGCTGGAAGCTTAACCTCATCAGGAGTGGTATTATATTTTGCGGAGTTCCCCTTATCCAACCTACAGCATGCTTAACTATTTTCTCCCTGCATTTTCCACATCTCAGCCCCCTAGGACCAGCTACCGGCAAGTCATTTTGTCCATTTTCATTGATCTGGCTACGTAAGGAACATCCTGTTTCTTTAAATCCTCAATGCTTAAATTGCCATGTAGAAACCAACTCCCTATCAATTTTCTACATTTAATCCTTGGCTTCTTGTTATATTTTCATTTTTCTGCACTCGTTCCCATGGCAACAAGTCTGTTAGCAGAGAAAGTATGACTCTGCTTTTAGCCTTCTGCACAAGACAATCGTTCTGGTGATCCTCAGGCAAGTATTAAATAAAAAGTCAGGAACTGACTGCCGTTCCTTTGGCTAATGCCTCTAATCTGTTACTCTCTGGCATGCATTTTCCACCCTGTGCCCAAACCAGGCTTGAGGAAAAAAGTATTCAAGGGCCCTGCCCAGTATCTCCTTAAATACTGATACAAGTATTCAAAGACCCTCTTATCCAATCACAGCTGCAGAGACTGAATATTTTGGTTCAGATGGCTTTCCCTTCTCCCTGTGTCAACGACTTAACTGACATAAATGAGTAATTAATGACAAGGACTACTGGGAACAGCATCAAGAAGCAACTTTCAGTCATTTTTCTATAAACACCCCAGGGAATAAGTATGTCTTGAACTGAGCCTTAAATCAGTATCTAATAAAGCAATGGAACATTGAAGCAG